TGTCTGAATTCGTTTCTCGAGCCGTAAAGGATCCCCAAGCTCGGCTGGTGGTCATCAGTAGCGGCGGCACTACAGTAGCGTTGGAGAGACGCACTGTGAGGTAAGTCCCCATTCGAGAGTGTTGACGGTTTGATGGTGTGATAAACTGGGGTGATAGACAGCGCAGTTCTATTCCTCTTCCAATTTGAATAGATTTTTGGACAACTTCTCCACGGGTAACCGAGGAGCTGGAATGGTCGAGGCTTTCTTGATGAGAAACGAGCGACAATCATTTAAGAAATATTATGTAGTTTACTTTCGTCGCAAAGGTGAGTCTCTTGGGTGTTCGTTGTTGATTACAAATCAGGTGGTAGTTGCGCTATGCCTTTCGTGCGACATTTGCCTGATGCTGGCCAACAGCTAGAGCTGTTGAGTCAGGGAGTTCACTCGGTTGAGTTCGACTCTTATATACAGGTGAAAACTCATCGAAAAATATGTTCGCTTCCTTGGTTGCCTCACTAACTATAGGAGCTCTTCGGGTAGGAATGTACAAAAACCATGTGTGAATTTTCAGGGAACTCCTCAAAATTATAATATTGTCATGAACACACGTACATGACTGTTTGTCAATGACTGACGTTCCTATACTGCATGGAGAGTTCGGCATCGGCGTTTTCAGGCGTACCCTTCACAAGAAGTTTTAAGGCGATATCTCCTCTCCGTCACCTTTACCAGTGTTACTGAGTAATGCAACTATAAACGCTTTCGAAAACATATGCATGAAATTGTTCGGGAATCTCGAGTTTTGGGATACCTGCTTCGTACTGTCTGTAGGTACTTGAGCTCTCTAGAAAAGATCTCTAAAGAAGTTAGCTCACTAGGTCCGCGAGCAGCACTCGTTTTAGCAGCCGCCGTGTCGGACTTCTACGTCCCAATGGATGAGATGCCAGAGAATAAGATTCAGAGTGGAGCTCATGAAGATACTGGACTCACGTTGCGACTAAAGGCAGTGCCGAAAGTTCTGGGGCGCATCAAATGCGAATGGTGTCCGAGAGCGCTCGTAAGTTGGCGTTGTAGGTGATGGGAAGTATGGAGGTCTCAGGTGGTGTCATTCAAGTTGGAGACTGATGCAGATATACTCTTCGAGAAAGCACGTGCAGCGATTAGAAAATATGGTGTTGACGCTGTCGTTGCGAATGTTTTAGAGGTAGCAGTTGTAGGTCGCGGGTTCAATCCCCGCGGTGGGCGAGTTGTCGAGTTGGGGTTTTTATTACGTTCAGACGCGCTATCAGAAGCTTTGGATCGTTAAGGGTGGGAAACACAGCGATGATTCTGGTCATGACTATACGACAGAGCTTATCACCAAGCCGGACTCCGGGGGTGAGTGCATTCGACTGCCCATCCATTGGTGATAGCGCAATCATTGAAATGCAATATCATGGGCATCCGAAACAGTAACGATGATATGTTAGCGCGATCGCCATGAAGTTATGAATAGAATATGTGTGTGTCTCGTCGGTGATGGAGACTTCGGTGTTTTATCAGATATTGAGGACGTATTGGTTGAAGGTCTCGAGAGGCTTCACGATACTCATATAGAGTGTTTCTCGCAGTAAACTTCTGTTGACAACTTCTGTTTCCTCGGAATTGGTCCTTGTTTTGAAGACTGGTTCGGTTCTGATATTCAGTGAAGTGTGATACTCCTAACGTGATGTACTGGTGATTTTGGACGACACTATCATCGTGAAGCTCATTCTTCTGGCCTTGTTTTGAGTCCTCGGATGTCACCGACAGGAGGGCCGAGATGTTCCCAACAATTAGGAGATGAATGGGAGTATCATCAAGTCGACTGGTACTCTCGTACTGATCCTCTTAGCTACTTATTTGCTCTCCTTAGGTACAGGCGAATGGTGCGAGATGCAAAATTGCGGAATGCCTGCCAGAGTGACTGTTTTCTCGACCTCATGCGGGAGTACGAGCGACGCCGGTGTGTGCAAGGCAACACGGCGATGGCAGAGAGTGTACCAAATCGACTTGTGAGTCGGCGAGATCGTGAGGCACTATCTGTGTTATACGTGGCGGAGATGGACCTTTTGTTCAGGTGGTCAAGCGGCAAGCATGGAGTCGTCGGAGTCTGCCGCGAGCGTGCATGTGACTGAAGCGATTAACCAGAAGAATGAGGCGATGACGATGTTGCTGAGGGACCTCCAAGAGGAGATAAGGAGTCGAGATTCCGAGCTGGCTCAGACTCGACTCGAGCTCGCGGCGAGAATAGAGGAAAACTCTAAACTAATGGCTCAAGGTATGTGTGTTCTGATATCTGAGGGCTTCGCGCAACATGATACTCTGATTATTGCATACTTTGATCATGGATGCCGATGGCATAGACATTGTGCTGTAGACTGCCAAGGCCAGCCAACACCGTTCGCTTGAGCAGACGTAGTGTGATCTGGGATATGACTTGGATCCGTGAACATTTGAGTCGAATTTCTGAGCACAGTCGATGGAGGGTTCTTATTGTTGCTTCTCGGCTAGAAGGAAGCGTTCAAAGTTGATATTCTCGAACCTGTTCGAAACATGGCCTCAGTTGGTTTCACGATAATTTTCGTCAGGCGAATCCCTAGAGGCGGCAGTCGAATTCAAATCCAATGAGATAACGCGTATGCGGGAAGAAGTGGAAGCGTTGAACGAACAACTGGACTTTCTAAAGAAGTGCGGTTTTGGGGACGAGTGGACTCTCGTTGACTATGAGGAGGCTCAGCCTGCATCATCAACTGACCAAGGCGATGGGGAGGTTGGTGCGTCCTAGCTAGGACCTGCCGTTTCAGGTTTCAGGATATCAGAGGACCTCTCGCTCGGATTCAAAAAGCATGACGTCGGCATTATGTTGAAATTATAATTTGTACCATTGACTATTTTTGGACTTTCATGTGGTGTCGCGTCAGTGAAGCGTGAGTTGCTCTC